CTAATAAATGAAGTGTCCATTACTTGTTGTACATTAAGTAGCTAATAAATGAAGTGTCCATTACTTGTTATACATTAAGTTAGCTAATAAATGAAGTGTCCATTACTTGTTGTACATTAAGTTAGCTAATAAATGAAGTGACCATTACTTGTTGTACATTAAGTTAGCTAATAAATGAAGTAACCATTACTTGTTATGCACTAAGTTAGCTAATAAATGAAGTATCCATTACTTGTACTAACTAATATAGCATCTTTCATCTATTGCACGTTAAATTAGCATGTCCAGTATAGCCTTCATTACTTATTATACATTTAAACAAGCTAACAAATGACAGTATCAGTTATCCATTTACTTATTATTATTAATTACAGTTTAATTTTTCCACTAAAAATAAGGTAAAGGTAAAGAAGAGAGGAAAGTTGAAAAAAATGCATATCCAATAAACGATAGTTGGTTGGTTAGCTAAGGTGAAGTACAATTATTCATTTATTATTTGATAGGTTTAGCTAGCCGATATGTCTCCTCTTTAGTCTCTTCACAATCATTCTATATACAATAATAAAAAAAAAAAACCTAAAAAAAAGAAAAAAAAACGAAGGTTAGAAGGCAAAGCAAAAAAAAAGTCAAAAAAAAAGGAAAGAAAAAAAAACTTAAGCATATCATTACATATAAATGCTTATTTGCATATAAAGTAATAACAAATAAACAACCTTATCACTAAATATAAACATTTGCTTATCATTCCTAATCACCAAATAGCATTTTGATTAATTATTAGTTGTTTTAACATTTTTTTTTCCTTGAAAATGTATATTTTTAACACAGTATATTGTAACTGAATAATAAGTATTTAAAGGAATAAAAAAATTTTCAATAATTTTAACAAAAAAATAAACAAAACTGCAAGAGAACTGATAAAATGATTGAACTTATCATATATTATGATGAACTAAATTATTCCTCATTAAACGATTGGTGTCAACATTACCAACAGTGATAAATGATAAATTATCAGTCATCAGTATCATCAACGATAAATTTATCTCATATATTATTGCATCAAAAAAACCGTATTCTTTTAAATTTTGTTATTTTTTTTTAATTAAAAAAAATTCAATTCCATTTAATTAACATTTTCCATTATTTCGTAAATTTTAGAACATTCCCGATGATTAAATATTGTTAAATTCGTGTCATCAGATGAATTTTAGGATTTATCAGCAAATGATTAATGTATATAAAATTTTACTTCTCATTATATCAATCAATGAATTGACCCTTATGACCTTTTTATATCTTTCCTTTTTTTTTTCTTTTTCTAATACAAATTAATAATTATTATGATTATGTTGCGCTCAATTACAATTAAATTGATAAGAAAATTTGAAAGATGGAAAAGCTAATGGCATTTTTTGTATTCCAATCTTAATGAGTACAAAAAATTTGAAATGCATAATAATATGATAGAAATTGAAATAATTTCAATTAATTTAATTGATAATTAAATAGGTGAAGGGAAGAGATCGATAAAAGAATTGAAATTAAGCAAAAATGACACATTGTTGTTTTAAATTATCCAATTGTTTGTTGACAACTCTAATTACTAATTAAATCATTAATTATTATAGCAAAGTTTGAAATGCATGGTAATACGATAAAAATTGAAATAATTTAAACCAATTTAATAGTAATTAAAAGGGAGAAGGAAAGAGATGCGGTAAAAGAGTAGGAATGAAACAAAAATGACACATTGTTGGTATTTATTTTAAATTTCCAATTTTTCGTTAACAATAATTAAGAATAAATTATTTGAAATCAAATAATTAGTGTTTTCAATTAAAATTGTTTGTATTAAAAGAGTAAAATATGAGCTAATTCAATCATTTTGCCACCTTTCTTTATTATTTCAAAAAATGACAAAAATTTGAAATTAATATTTGATTCGAAAAAAAGGATAAAATTGTGTTAAATAATTAAAAATTGATTAAATTTTCTTTTTCAACTTTTTTTCTTGTTTTAAACTTATGAATTTCATTTTCTATTTTTTCATTACTTTGGTCCGTTCATTTTAAACTTCTCTTTTTTACTACAATTTGTATATTTTATAGTACACAAAAAAAAAGCGAGGAAAAAACGATGAAATTTGTTTGTTTGTTTATTTATTTATTTGTTTATTTGTTAGTTTGTTTATTTATTTATTTGTTTTTTGTTTGTTTGTTATTTGTTTGTTTGTTTGATTATTTTTTTGTTTGTTTTCCTTTTTTTTCAAAATAAAAAGATGAATTACCAAAAGAGGCAAAATATAAATAATTCAAAAAATGAAAAGAATGAAAAGGAATAGAGCTAAGCAGGGGGTAAGGGAGGAATTCAAAATTAAAATTCATTGAAATACAAATAACCCATGCATATGTATGTACATATATGTATATATATACATATATATATATACGTATATACACCCATTTAACCAAAACAGTAATTCTTTTCATGCACACATACACATACACATGCACACACACACACACACATACACATACACATACGTATACATACACGCGTACACATATAGACGGGCACAGACACATACACATACACAGACACATATAAACATATATACATACGCAAACATACACAAACACACATACATAGACATACACACAGACAAATATATACACATACAAACATACATACATACATATACCACTGATAAATGAATGGAATGAATTTAAATGAAGAGTGAATCGTTCTTTTTTTTTGGTATTTAGTTAAAAAGAAAAAAAAAATTTTCTTTTTTTTCTGACTATTATTCTTTTCATTACTTTTCTTA